GGCATTAATAAGTGAAATAAAATTTAGAAAAATTCAACATGCGACCCTTTGTTCCTATATGCCGCCTAGTTTGACCACAACCCTTATCTAAGGACTTCTCGGTGTCTTTCTCTGGCAGACGGAAAGTAAGAAATTCAGAGCAGAAGCTTTCTATAGGGATCTATGCTGAAATTTGGATTGCTCAACTTCTTCCTTCTACGACTTGTCTGAAGTTGTAGCTTCCAATGGTTCGCTCCCACTTGAGGAGTAAACTCGACGGTGCGAGGTTTTGCTTCCTGACACGGATCTTGTAAGCTTAGTAAACTAAAAGGAGCTTACGTTGCTCAGGAAAATTGCTCTCCTCGAGGACTTGCGTCTCATCCTTATTTCCCATATATGATTTGTATTTGAGAAAATGCATCATCATCCTCATTCGTAAGGCCTTTGCAGAGTAAGCTTATTCCAAGCCTGGGCTATCATGCGATGTCAAGTTCAGAAGTCTGTGAAGTATCAAATAGCCAGCTACATTGCTCATCTTTCCGACAATAAAATACTTCTCAGTTTGTGGGAGACGTGGTTTTGATTGAAAGGCAGACTCTAAAACACTTGGGAAGAGTCGAATTACAACAATCTTTGCTATCGCCATCATCAAAACGTAATTATAACCCTAACTTAGCCGGTGCGGAAAATTTTATCGTATGTCGTTTGGTGAGCTCCATGTAAGGATTGTTGTGGTTGGGTCCGAAATGTACAATTTTCTACCCACTAGGACTGCCTTTCCTGTGCATCACACAACAGTGCCCAGACAACACGACGAATTTGTAGAAACATGGTCGTTAGACCCTATTTCGTTTAAGGTGATGAATGTATGGTAGTAGAATTTTCCCACAATGATATGAGTAGAGCTGACACTTCCATTTAAATTTCACATTGCCTTGCTTTCCCAAAAGTTTATCTCATCCAGGGTGGAGTGCAGTTTCGTCCTCGTATAGGTTTTATCAACACCCCTAGCGGGAGTCGAACCATGACGTCAACCACTCGGCAACATTGCCACGAGTTTCCTTGGGTCACAGGACAGATATGACTATGAAGGAAGGCCAGGCCTTTTCCCATATCACATTCTTTGGTGGGATTGTTGATGAAGAAAACGTATTTTTGCTATAACAATCGACTACCTTACTTATATTTCGTATATAAGTAGAGTTTCAAGTCAACCAGTAAATCAGTTATATGAGATGTATTCACCCTATTTCGTTTAAGGTGATGAAGGACTGATAGCAGAATTTTCCCATTATCATATGAATAGAGCTGAAGTTCCCATTGGATTTCACATACCCTTGCTTCCCCAAAAGCTGCTATTATTTAGGGTGGAATGCAGTTTCGACCTCGCATCGGTCTTATCAAAAACTTGGCCAAGTTCGAGTCATCCTTAAAATAGCATCATGTTGTGTGAATGGAAGATGACACATATTTCTAGTCTGTTAAATGACTTTAAGCAGAATGAGATGAACAGTAATTGGCCAAACATGACATCATGGCCAAAGGAAGAAACGGTGGGGTCTGTATCAGCATACACACTTTATGTGACAGCAAATGTGTAAAAGTAGGTGTGCAAAGTAGGCTGTCAAATAAGCTTCCTGAACAGCAAAAACTACTCTTACATTGGATATTTATATATACGTACTTCCATTTATCCCGTAAGTCACCAGGACCCTGCGATCAGCGACTGCCATGTACTGCTTCATTAGTTGTAACAATTTCTGCTTTATTTCCTAGAATCACGAGCTTCTTTTTTAAGCACTAGTAATCTAGGCAAATGATCAAGAATTTCTGCCTCAATGCCCACATGCATGCCTACACATGAATGTACTTGTCTATGCTTATTTTAAACCTCAAAGTGAAAGAGATGAAGCGAGATACTCGTCAGATAAACATCAATTTGGATTATATTATGGTAGAGGATAGGGCACGAGACAACCAAGTTGTAAAAACACGAGCATTTGATTATGTGGAATGTGAGTTAAATGTCAACTCTTAATAGACGTTAGATAATAACAAATGCAGGCTGACAAAGGGAAGATGACAGAGGCTATAAGCAAGTAGGGAAGAAAATATACCTTCTAACCTCAACTGTTCGTTTGCCCAGCTCCCGAGAATGCAAAAGCGATTGCACATTCGTGGCTTGGCCAGAATCGGGATCTCTTTCGGTCTCATCGGGAAGGATGACAAAAAAGTGAGGGACAAAAACCATGGCTTTTCACCAGGTCTCTACTGCCTAGTGCCACAATACTGACATATTTATGACGAGAGCATCACGTGTCCATCGAGGTTAGAGTTGACCATCCAACCGAGGGCATAAGGTACAAACCATCCTCTACACAATATTCCTTTGTTCACTTCAATTTCTTAAAGCAAGCGAGACTCAAACTTTTGTTATCATTGTTGTGTCGATGATACCTTGCTTTGATGATGTTCGTCATATGATAGACGAAGGCTTAGCACTTTTTCACCGGAATCGGAGGATATTACCTCAGAAACAGCATCACCGTGAATGTTTCAGTAAAACCAATCGACAGCTGGTAAAAAGGAATCCGCCGTCGTCTTTTGGTGTAATGGACCTGCGAATCTCTTCACCCAACACTTTCACTCAAAATGGAATTAAGCCCAACAATTATGAAACAAGAGATACCTTGAAACCCAACTTTTCTTTGCATATATTACTTTTGTCATCAAACGGATCCGGCTCCGCAAAAATCTCCAGTCATACGGCCGCGATATAAGGCACCAGCCTTTATAAATTTAATGCTATCTTCTAAGCAAAGAGGCAGCGGAAAACAATAATAGGAGCATCGCGCTTGCTTACTATACGTAAAGTTAGCACAATTGTGAACAAAAGTTAAATGCGGTTAAGGACATGCATATTTAAGTAGAATTTCAAGACTACCAGTTTATCGGTAATATGAGATGTATTTACCCAATTTCGTTTAATCTTATGAAGGACTGGTAGAAGAATTTTTCCACAATCATATGAGTAAAACTGACGTTTCCATTCAATTTCACATAGCCTCGCTTCCCCAAATGTTGTTCTCATCCAGGCCTCGCATCGGTCTTATCAACACACCCAGCGGTAGTCGAACGGTGAAAGTGCAGAAAGTGAACTTGACACGTTAACCACTTGGCCACATTGCACCGAGTGCCCTTGGGTCACAGGGCAGATGTGAATTGCAAGGAAAACCAGGCTTTTTTCCATATCGTATCCCTTTGTGGGATTGTCGATGAACCACTTCAGTCTGGATGAGAACAACTTTAGGGAAAGCAAGACTATGTGAAATTCAAAAGAAAGGTCAGCTCTATTCATTTCTGGAAAATTCGACTACCAGTCCTTCATCACCTTAAACGAAATAGGTTGAATACATCTCATATCAGCATACAGAGCTTGTACTTAGAGGGCAAACGAGATTTGCCGCTGAAAAATCATTTGATCTTTCTGTCTGAGGCAATAATAACTCTTATTTTTCGTTAAATAAACTCTTTCGACTACCATTAGATCTGATATAAGAGTTGTATTCACCTTATATCGTTTAGGCTGATGAAGGATTAGCGGTAGAATATTTTCACAACTATATGAGTAGGCCTAACATTTTAATTGAATTTTACATGAAACTGTTTTCCAAAAGGTATTATCATCCCAGCCAGGGTGTACTATATATTCGACCTCTACAAGGTCTCACCCGCACCACTAGCGGGACTTGAATAGGGGTTTTGGTTGCGCAGCGAATAAGCTTGACAAGTAGGCCATTATGCTGATCTGGTACGAGTGCCCCTGGGTCACAGGACAGAAGGGAATTTCAAGGAAGCCTAGTTCTTTGCCGTATCATCTTTCTGTGATGAGATTATCGACGAAGTAGGATAGTCTTAAAAACCTACCTATTAAACGAAAAATAAGTACTGTAATCGATTGCTGTAGCAAATTGTTGGGCTTACTTCCATTTTGAGTGAAAGTGTTGGGTGAAGAGATTCGAAGGTCGGTTTCACCAGAGGACGAAGGCGGATTCCTTTTGGTTAGCTGCATTTGGCTTTACTGGAAGATTCATGCTGACGCTGTTTCCGAGGTAATCTCCTTCGATTCCGGTGAAAAGGTAA